TTGGCCACCTTGAAGTGTTCTTGCCTTGGCTCCTCCATGAATCTGCTCACCAGTCCAACCGCAAACATTATGTCGGGTCTTGTGATGGTCAGCTACTGTAGGCTTCCGACTAAGCTCTTATACAAAGTTGGATCAATAGAGATTCCTAGTGAGTCTCTTCTCAGCTTCACTCCAACTTCGACAGGAGTTGCAACTGGTTTGCAGTTGTTCATGTTGAACTTCCGAATGATCTCCTTTGCGTACTTTTTCTGAGAGATGAAGATTCCTCTCTCAGATTGCAACACTTCTACTCCAAGAAAGTATGACATTTATCTAATGTCAGTCATCTCGAACTCCTTGATCATGTTCTTCTTGAACTCCTTGAACATTTTTGGATTGTTACCGGTGAAGATCATGTCGTCCACGTAGAGACATACGATCATAATGTCTCCATCCTTCTTCTTGGTATAGAGAGAGTGCTCATACGGACTCTACTGGAATCTGTTCTTCTGGAAGTATGCATCGATTCTAGCATTACACGCTCTGGGTGCTTGCTTCAGTCCATACAATACCTTCTTCAGCTTGTAGACCTTGTCTTCTTGATTTTTCATCACATACCCAGGTGGTTGCTCGATGTAGACTTCTTCTTCTAGATAGCCATTAAGAGAGGCTGACTTCACGTCCATCTGATAGATCTTCCACCGGTTTTGTGCTGCCAATGCGATAATGAGTCGAATGGTGTCGATCCTCGTGACTGGTGCGAACACTTCTTCATAGTCAACTCCTTCTCGCTGACTATAGCCCTTTGCAACAAGCCTGACCTTGTACTTCTCGATTCCGTCGTCTTGATTGTCTTTGTCTTGTACACCCACTTTACTCCAATGGGTTTATGGTCTTCAGGTAAGGTGGTGAGCTCCCATGTGTGATTTCTCTTGATTGCCTCAATCTTATCATCCATGGCTTTTCTCCACTTGTCTTCTTGAGCAGCTTCTTAATAGCTGATCGGATCACATTCTGCAAACAAGAAGAATAGTGTGTAGTCATCCATCATCTCGACTGGTTCTGTATCGTCGTACAGATCTCTTAAACTTCTCATCCTCCTTGTTGCTCCCCCTAAAGAGCTTCCTTCACTTGAGCTGGATGGTGATGATGTCGGCGTCGATGTTGAGGTTGATGGAGCTGGACTATTTGGTGGACTTTGTTCTGGTCTTCCAACCTCCTGCAAGTCATCATCATTATCTTCAAAGAACATACCTTTAATGTTTTTGTCTTCATCAGTCCATTTCCAATAATCTTCTTCATCGAACTCCACGTCTCTTGAAATGATCATCTTCTTTGTAACTGGATTGTAGAGCTTGTATGCTTTTGTCCTCCTCTCGTACCCAACGAATATGCACTTTTCTCCTCGATCATCCAACTTCTTTCTTTTCTGCCCTAGGATGTGTGCATATGCAATACACCCAAACACCTTCAGGTGGTTGACACTTGGCTTGATATTGCTCCACATCTCCAATGGTGTCTTGAACTTGACGCTCTTTGTCGAACATCGGTTGAAGAGGTAAACTGCACAGTCCACGGCTTCAGCCCAGTAAGTCTTTGGCAGGTACTTGCTCTTCAACATGCTTCTGACCATATCAAGAATGGTACGATTCTTCCGCTCTGCTATGTCATTCTGCTGTGGTGTGTAGGCGACAGTGAGTTGATGAATTATCCCGTACTGCTTGTTAAAATTATTGAATGCCTTCGAAGTGTATTCTCCACCTCGATCTGATCGGAGCACTTTGATGTGGTACCCACTTTGCTTTTCTACCATCTCCTTGAATTCTTTGAATTTCTCTAGAGCTTCGGATTTCTCCTTCAAGAAATAAACCCAAGTTTTTCTGCTATAATCATCAATAAATGTGAGAAAGTACCTATTTCCTCCAAGAGATACGACTTCAAATGGTCCTGCAATATCTGTGTGGACCAATTGTAGCAGCTCTGTTGCTCTTCTTAACTTTCCAACTTCAAAACTTCTTCTATGTTGCTTGCCCTTCATACAACCTTCACATAGCTGGTTCAGATGATTGATTTGCAGCAATCCTTTCACCATTTTCTCCTTCCACGGAAGATTTAGGCCACTGAATGCGAGATGCTTGAATCTCAAATGCCAGAGCCAAGACTCATCCTTCATAATCATCTTTAAGCACTTGACAGGGTCAGTATGAATATTTAAGGTAAACAGTCTATTTCGAGACATGTTCACCTTTGCAATTACTTCATTATTATTCTTGATAGTGAGGGCAAGGTCTTTTAGATGTATATCATAGCCTCTTTCAAGGAGTTGACCTAGACTCAAAATATTATTTCGTAGTGCTGGAACATAATAGACGTCAGAGATGTACCTATTCTCACCCGTCTTTGTCTGGATCATTATCTTGCCCTTGCATTTCACTGGAATCTTTGACTGATCTCCAAAGGTGACATCTCCTTGTACCATCTCGTTCAGCTTGGTGAAAAACTCCTTGATGCCGCACATGTGGTTACTGGTACCTGAATCCAAATACCAGGTATCTTTATTCTTGCTTTCACTTTCCTGGTACGTCAGCAAGACTGTTGAAGCGTCTGGCTGCTCCCTTTCTACAAAGTTACTTCTTTCTACCACTTGATTTGATTTCTCCCAACATTCGTAGCTGAGATGGTCGTATCTCTTACATTTGTAACACTGTGGCTGAGATCTATCCTCCTGGTAACTTCTTCCTTGTCCTCTTCCTCGTGTGCCACGACCTCGTCCTAGATCGAATGATCGTTCACGATCTCTATTTTGATCTTGATTTTCATGGCCTCCTTGGTACCGTCTCCTACGACCTTGCTGGAAGTTTGAGCCACCTCGAAACGAGTCTCTGCCTCTGTAGCCTCCACGTCCTCTTCGACTATCTTCTTTGATAGTCATCTTACTCTGCAAGGCTTGCTCTAGATTCTCCGCTTGATTTGCACTGATATTTATATCTTGTTCATAAGCTTGCAGAGAACCTTGCAGCTCATCAATAGAAACTTCGGAGAGATCTTTAGACTCTTGTATTGCCGGAAAAATATATTTGAATTTAAAGTCTAAAGTCCTAAGTATCTTCTCCATAATTTTTACATCATTATTTGCTTCTTCATTTTTCTTCATTTGATTAGTTATTGTCTGAACTCTACTAAAATAGTCTGATATTGATTCTGTAGCTTTCATCTTCAAATTTTCAAATTTAACTCTTAATGCTTGGAGGCGTACCTTTTTGGCTCTTTCCGCACATTGATAGGATTTTTGTAAAATATCTCATGCCTCTTTAGAGGACAGGGCGTTGGAAATCTTTTCAAACGCAGATTCATCTATGCCTTGGAAATTGGAATATTAGGAACAAAGCTTTTTTGTCTCTTTTTCTGACCTCCTTCGGCTCATTCTTCTGTGTGGCGGTGAGAGTTACTTCTGCTGCAGGTGACTCTGGTTCAGTGTAGTCATTCTCCACGAGCTCCCACAAGTCTTGTGACGCAGTGCGGAAGTTGTAACCTCGGAATCCACCAAGGGTGTTCTCTGAATCCACAAAGAACGATCTTCGAATCCACGAAGAGCTTCGAATCCACGAAGAAAATATTGAAAAAGAAAAATTTTATTAATGAAAAGTTATGCCTCTAAGGCTTACAAGACTCTTCTTAAATAGAAAAAGAAACAAGACTCCTACAATGACTCCAATTCTACCAAAAATAGTAAAAGAATTCCTAAAATATTAAAACTCCTAATAGAATTACAAAGAAATAGAAAGTATTAAATTCTAACTAAAAAAAGACTCCTTATAATAGAGGAAACAAATCATAAATCAAAACTGAATTTGTTTCCTAATTCTAATTGGACTCTAAAAAAAATCTGACAATCTGGTTGGCTCTGTCTTGTCGAGATAGGTGATTTACATATATAATATGTCAGAATCCGCCTTCCGGATTAAAAGATATGATTGTTTCTTTGCGAAAGTATAAATCTGTATTTAGCTCGTGAATGTCCGAATCCTCCATTAAATTTTCTGTCAAGCGTCCTACATCATCTTGCGAGCCGAGCAAGACTTTCATCTGGATATTCCAGTTGTCGTAATTGGTCTTCATCAGCTTAGGAATATGTGGCTGGATCATGTTCGTCATCTCGTACACGAGCACCTTCGATTGGCCCGGCTAGATCGAACATTGCTCTGATACCACTTTGATAAAATTTGAAGAACACAACCCTCTACACAAAGAAAACTTTTATTGATAGAACACTAGGGAGTATAATACTTGCTCTTACAAGAGCACCTCACTTTCACACAACTTTTTATTTTGGTGAACACTCACACAAGCCTACACTAAACACTCAAGCTTTCAAGCTTACTTCTTGCTTGCTTGCACAAATAAGAGCCCAGTATCCCTTTTTATAGTTGTTTAAGAGGGCTAGGAAGTGTGTAGAAGAGTTAATCCTAGCCATACATTACTCAGAAATTTCTAGAAGAATAAATACTAGCCATACACTTGTATCTTCCTAGAAACTTCTTGGTAGATATTTTGTAGGATGTTACTAGAAAGAAGTTCTAGAATAATCTAAGTTGGTGAGGAATTCTAATAAAAAAGATAATTTCTTCTGTGTCTTATAACTGTCTATTATTTAATGAGCGATCATGATTTATCAAAAGAAACAAATGAAAATTGAGTATAATTTACAAAGATATGATGTTAATTCTATTGGAATAAATCATAATTATTTATATACTACTGTTTAATTATTTATGATTAAGAAAGTGAATATTTCTCATACTGTCCACTCACACTGCAGGTTTTTAACACCTGTACCTTTAACCAATCTTGTCAAAGTACACCAGCGAGTGCACCAAAGGAAAAAGCTCCTGTTTATCAATAAGGAACTACTGTATGACCACTAGACTCGAAATCATCTGTCACTCCCATAGTTTGAAAAAAGAGAGGGGGAAAAGATGGAGAATGAGTGAGAGAGAATAAGGTGTGAAAATGAAAAGATAAGAAGCAAATTCATAACCCTTTTTTTATGAACAATTTACATCAGGTTCTCCATGTAATTAATCTAGCCTTTTTCTGTCACATCTCAGACATGTACTTGCCATCTCTAACTGTTGAAAGCTTCTGTTCTTCAGCTTTCTGTCTCATCCTCCAACATCCCCATATATGTGGGTCTCCCCACAATCCACCCCCAAACTATGCAGGGTTGTAGGCTCTCTTCCATTCCTTAAACAATAGGGTTAATTAATTGCTGATGTACCACCTTATAGTATTGCCCAATCGCGGATAGATCCCTCTACTATGGCTCATTGCATATATATACACTCCCCAATCGCGGATAGATCCCTCTACTATTGCTCATTGCATATATATAGATCTATTTGTCGAAAAACAGTTTCTCTTTTCTCCAAGGATCGATAAAAGAGTTGAAAATTTCAATAAGGAGCCTATTTGCAATATATAATAGAACTACGACAAAGGTCTATCCGCAATTAGCCCTAGAAAATAAGGAAAAGAAACTAAAAACTAAAAATAGCCCCGAAACCAATACGTAAGCTAATTAACAACTAAGTAAGTAATAAACATTCTATGATCAAACCTTCACCAATTAAACATATTATCAATGAAAGGGTCCAATCCCTTACTACTCTCCTTCTCCTGATCAGTTTCAGGCTTCTGTCCAACGAACCCTGACCCCGAGAAAATAAGGCTCATCGGGTCGGGTTCAAGCTCAGCCAAATCAGCAAAGAAATCATCGGGTTGGCTCGAACCAGCCATTGACGCTGGCTCATTGTAGAACACATTGTCAACCGTTACGTTATCCATTCCACTAACGACTTCTTCTTTAACTGTAGGCAAACTTGAACTTGAATTTGTATTAGGGTTGATATTTTTAGGCTCTTCCTTCAAAGTTGAGGTTGAGGATTTGGAGGTTGAAGAGGTGGAGGAGTTCTTGTGCGGCTGTGTTCTTGTGGACCCCGCGAGCGCATTTCGTTGAGTAGGCCAAGGGTGGTTGTGCTCAGATGTGTAGGTGATGACTAGCATATTTGGATCAGTTCTGCTTCTTTCTACCTGTTTTCTTGCCGAGCATCCCTTTGAGCTGCTGCATCTGTAGTAGCCCCTGAAAATTGTACAAAATTTGATGTTAACATTGATCAAATTATAGCAATTTGATACCAATGGTTAGTTATTGATAAAAGTTGAGAGATTCTAGAAGATTAAAGCAAATCAAATTTAGTGCCTGTGTAAATTGTTGATATAAACTGTTAGTTTATAGTGCATGTTATTATGAATTATGTATTGATATTGTTGGGATGCTATATTGATAAAAATTATATATTCAATAAATGAAGGCAAAATTCATAATAGAGTTTAGTGTTTGATCCTACTGATATAACTTATGTACTTTTGGATTGTATATATTATTAGAATGTCGTGCTTATTGACAAGGCATTTAAAGAGTAAGTAAGCTTATGGAAAAAAGTTTTCATTTAGTGACAAGGAACTGAAATGAATAATTAAGTGTCTATTATTCATTTAATTGATTATGAAAAAATAAGTTAATTAATTTACCTTGAGTTATTGTTAATATGCTCTTATTTTTGATAAATAAGCTAGTGACTTTAGTAATCAGATGATGAGGAGAAGTAAAGGAGCAAAGATATGAAGGGGTTACCCATGATTTGGAGTAAGAGAGAAGAAAGCATAAAGAAAAAGAATAAATAAGACAGAAGGAGATCGAAATTAATACTGTACGTGTTCCCTACTCCTTGAACACATCCCTTTCCTCTTGCATTAGGAGTTAGAAATTTTTAATCTTTATAAATTCCATCGATGTATATTTATTTTTAAGCATATGATAATAAGCGAGTATATATATAAGTAATTAAAATGGAAAATTACCTAGGATAAGGGGAACCCTTGATGGGTTTCTGTCCATACTTCCTCCAAGCCCATAGATCAGATGGCACCACTTCTCCACTTGGCCTGCTGCTTGCTGCTGCTGGCGCTGGAATGCAAACCACTTTCTTTGCCTGGCTCTTTCTGCAAAAGTTTTGCACCAAAAGAACCAATCAAATACAAAATCCCCTCGAGGAATCCTTAGACTCTAGTGATAAAAAGAGAACTCTGTGTCTTGGAATTTATTCAAAAAGTAGGATTTAAAGTTTGGTGATCATGGGAATATAGTTTGGGCCTTGACAGAGATTGATCCTGTGGAAAAGTTTCAGATAACTAAATTGAAAGCTCAGCTCAACAAATCCACTACCACTATTTGTCCCAAAAAAACAAAAAGTTTGATATATGAGAGTTAATAAAATTTATTGTTTACCTTCTCTTCATCCCGGGAGCACGAGGGGAGATTTGCACACCGTGTTCAAGCTTGACCATATCGCCGATCGTCGGCATCGGCTTTATCGCCCTCGGCGACAGCGGCAAGGGCACTTTTGCCGGTGAGATCTGCAGCACCCTCGAAAAGAGGCTGCTGCAGGGCCTCTTCATTTCATCACCAACTCTCACTAGCTTTTGCTGCTGAGCGATCATCTCATCGCTCGCAGCGCTGCTGCTGCTGATACCGTCTCCGCCGCCGC